GTTCAAAGAGGGTAAGTTAATGTAGCCCTTATAAAATGTACTTATATGTCACATATAAGTGACAGTTACATGTGATATATAGGTGACATATTCCATTATTAAACCTTTCTTATATGGCACTTGTAGGTCATATGTATGTAACTCTAACAGTTTGTGTTATATCTACTGCAGATACAACTTCTTTACCCTCAGCCGGGATGGGTGGAGATGGATGAAGAGGTTTTCTACCAACAGTTCATTGATGTTGTCAAAATATCTTTAGAGAGTACGTATGATTGTTTGCTCATTGAACGGTTGCAATAGTGCTATCAATATTGAACTATATATTTTAGTACATACAGCATGATCTGAGAAATAATTAAATCGGAAAACCCAGCTAGTCATGATTGTAAAGATATTGATATTGTCTGTGTAATTGGTAGTAAAGTCCAATTAGCCATGCAGTCCTGCTCAAGTTGCCAGTCATGCATGGACAGGGGGACAGGCTATTTTCAACACTGACGTAATAATTATTAATCCTGAAATTCTTTAAACATCAAAATGTCTTCATTTTGTTACGATTTTTGTTCATTTTGTCACATCATGTTTTAACTGTGCTGTATATATATATATGCTTGCATTGCGATGACGTTGCCTAAATTTAGATGAATTTTGACAGGAGCGAATATCACAGCAGCTGATGTCACATCGTTAGGCATCTCCACACAGAGGAACACCTTTATAACTTGGGATCGGTAATTATATGCAATTATGAGAGCTATACTCGTAGCACACAATAAGCTGTGTGCGTATACATGTAAGTGGAGTTTGTATTCCATACACAGCAGGGAATAAAATACACGGGAGCGACGAGCGATTTCGCTCTGGTAAGCTCTAAAATCGCTCTGGTAAGAACAATAACGGGAGCGATTGCCCGAGAGAAAATCGCTCCCGTGGCCTGATAAATTGAAATGTACACAAGTACGTATGTAAAGCGAGCGCTACATATACACCGTGCATGCAGCAGCGGCTTAAGCTAGGTTTACACTGACGATTATATGAAGTCAAGTTGGCGTTTTTCTTCTTTCTACCAACCTCTCTATATATATTAGGGCTGTAATGATACACAAGCCTCTTGATTCGATCCGGTTCTCGATATTAGCCTCTCGATTCGATTCCTTCGATTCGATTCCCGAAATATTGAAATGTTATCTTATTTTTATATTTTCATAATTATGCAATAATAAATTATTAGAAATTGCCAATGAATACTAAATGGTGAATAGACTAGGGAGTCTAATACTACCATTCTGTCCCACCACTTCCCCTTCTCACTCTTTCCTCTCATCTACATGTACACATTGGCTTCACTTAGTCACTATTCCTAGCCATTGCTTATTCGTTTTGTTTACCCTGTAATAAAACATACCATACGAATGAACAATGTTATCTTTTTCGTTGGATTTGCCCAATACGAACTTGCCAGTTATGGCCAACTGACAATCGCTAGTGTAAACGCACAAAGTCGCAGCGTCCCAGCCGAATCCGATAAGCATGCGAGTCGGAAGATTAGAACCATCAGTTCTAATTTCCCCAACTCGGAAGCCAGCGCAAGTTGGAGTTTTTTGCCAAGTGACCAGACCAACAGCAATCAGTGGCGGTGTGGTCCCCTCCACCCTAGGGGCGAGAGCAGGGACGTTTTGTCTTTAGCGCGGCAACGGCTAGGCGACACCTGAATACATGCAAAAATGCGTATCCGCGTCGGCTCGCTCCGCCGCACGCATACTGGGTCAAATGTTGAAACGTTTGCCGGCCTCCGCCGCGATCCCGAATAACGTAAGAGCTTGAAACAATATATATATTAAGGGCGTGTAACGATGCCACCGAAATCGAAATCGGAGCGAGATTCTCTTCCCTCGATCGATGCCTCGATATTTTCCCATCCGATTTTCGGTTCACTTCCGATATTACTTTTTGTCCTACCAATAGATGGCCGCACTACGCGTAATATACTGCGAAAGTGAGGCCAGCAGCATATAAAATCACTGGTTGAGATAAGTGGTGATTTATATGGCTCTGGTGTGAAACTCACCACAATGTATATCACCACTGTGCAGTGATATTATATGTATACTCTC